GCGCGGGGCGCGGGGCTCAGCTCTCCCCTCGGGCCGCCTGGAGGCCGTTTCCCCCCCTCTCCTCTCCCAGGAGCGGGTAGGGAGCGGAGGACGAGGGAGAGAAGCCAGATTTTCAGCCTGTGGCGTTGTGCAATACGTCAACGGCGTTTTAAGGCCTAACAGTTTTTTTTTTTCTGGTCCTCCGTCTCGGTCCCAGCCTCTTTACTTCAGGTAGTGGCAAATCTATGCTGTCTTTCCCCAGTTTTCTTGTATTTTGGAGGATATGTATCCCATGCTGCAACAGTGGTAACATTATATTAGTCATATAAAGAAGTCTAGAATTATTCTGCGCTCAGCTTTCATTTCAGTCTCTATCCTTCAAATACACTAGGTGGTTTCGCCGCAGAGTAATCTCTAGGCATTATGGCACACAAGGTTTACACATCCATTCGATGTATATGCCTCTCCCTCCATCTAGCATGTGAGTACTGTTACTTGTTACCCTGCTTCAACTTTGTTGTATAAGAAAGTTTTTCTTACCTAAAGAAAATAAGATGCGGTGGACACCAACGGTAAGCACGTACTACAGAAACACTGTGTAAAGACATATTTATGGTATATCCCATTAAGGGCTTATAAAGGTCCCTGTACTGAAAATTGTAAGACACTGTACAGAAAGTTAATTGCACATCTTGCTGCCACATGTTTTTGCTGATTTCCTGTTTATTTATAATTTTAAATTACTAAAAAAAAGAAAAGGTTTGTGATTTTAAAAGTGGCAGAGCAGTAATAGTGCCAAAAATATTACTGTAATCTTCTTTTTAACTTATTTGTTTTATTATAAAATGTGGAGAGTTTTTGTGACTTGGAGGTTTTATATGTCTTCCACTATTTTGAAAAATCCTGCCCATTTCTATTGACAACAACGGGTTTTGGATCAACTCAAGCTGTATGACGTTGTTTTCATACAACAGTGGATCAGTTTCTGCTACTGGAGTGGAAGCAGAATTGACTTCATTTTCATCAAAGTAAAGGAAAACAGGACGAGTAACAGGCATAAGTAGTTAGTTGCTGCTTTGGATCTTTAGGAATTATGCCAGAGTTTGAAGACGTGGACTTACTCGTGAGGTTGGAAAGGGAAGAGGAACTCTGCATTTGATTTGAGCTCCGTCACCATAGCACGGTGGGGAGCTGCATGTTTTGCTGCCGCACTGGCTCACAAGTTCCGGGAAAGATAAGCTGGTGCTTGAAATTCCCAAGACAAAGAGGGGTTAGAAAGGGAAAATTAGAACAAAATGTTACTGCATCTGGAAACCCCCTTTTTTTCTTTAGTATTTTGAAAGGTATTCTGCCAGATAACTTAAATGGTATCATAGCTGGTTTAAGGTTTCATAGTTGTAGGTGTGTGGCATAAATTGTGCTGCTAAAATACAAAATAATTTCAGTGCAGATCAAAGCTTTAAAATATTCCTTTGAGATTCTGCTGAAACTGTTAAGGTTGTAAAAGTCAAAGATAACACACTGTCAATTAAAGTATTATATTTGATATTCTGATTTTTAGAGTAACTGCATAATTAAGGTTTTAAGTCAAGTCTGTTTACGCACTGTAGTGGCATACAGGAAGGCCGTGTAACAATACCTGTTGACTCTGTTCCCAACTGTGAATTGGTTCATAGCTTCATAGCTGAAAGGCTTGTGTTACGCTCATAGTATGTGTAGTTGATTTTCTTTATAATCACTCATTTTTAATTATTTTGTGAGAAAAAACCTTTCATAACTGTTTTTCTGCATTACTACAAGACTTATTTCAGCTATTTATCGCATACAAAACATCTAAACTTTAATGTTCCCAGACTTCCTGATTTTGCCTAAAACCGCTTTGGTGTCTCTAAAAGTAAGCAGGATCCCTTTCTGTAATAAGTGCAAAGCAACGTGCCAGAAAAATCAGTAAGGGGTTTAAGGGTAGTCAGTAACTAAATGGCAGGCTCAGATTAGTTTCTACTTCTTCAGTACAATGAGGACTGAGGAAATTACGCACTCGCATGTTAAACTCCCCATATCTGTTTATGCAACAGTGGTGCCACCTCAAACTTCATTCCTACAGGAAGTATAACTCTTGTCAGTGAAGAATATGTGGTGGACTTCCCAAATGTGTGATTGTTACAAGAAGAGAAGGGTGATCAGATCAGATGTATGGGCCAGACGCTGCTAGAGATAGTGTCTAGTCAAGCTGCTTGTGCCTGTACTAGTTTGTGCTTTCCTGTGCAATGTATTTATTGGGATACAGTGCTCTTCTAGAAAAGAAGCTTGAGCGTATTTAAATCTCAAAGCATTGTCATTTTCCACTTCAGTTTTTTGGAGTCTCACTGAGGAGACTCCCTAAATCTGTAGGAAGTTCTAAAGCAGTGAGCAAGCAGACTTTCTGGTCGGTCAAATTAACTTGATTATTTATATCTGAGTAATCCTGACATAAAGAAAGAACACAAATCAGAAAGTCAGAATCTAGGTCCCAGGGCCTGAGCATGAGGAGCGGGATGTACAAGTAGATTTATTTTTCTTCCTGTTCCTGGGGCTGCCTGTCAGACCAAATCAGGACAGCTTTGCTTATTATTGCAAAGACCTTTAGCAAAACAGGTCCATTAAACTGTGATTTGAAAATGTGCAGTTGGCAATAGAGAAGATGCATAGAATACTAATAAAAACAACTGCTAATCTGTTAATCACCTTTTAATGTTTTTTATGCAATACTTCTTTATTTGCCTAATTTAGTCTGCCACATTTGAATGAATAGGTGATGTAATCTATAATATGTCATCTGTCTGACTGTATCAGGTGATAAATGACCTGGTACAACACACTGTACCTTTGACATTGCTTGTTCTCTAATGGACATAATAATAAAAAGTACTCCTTAGTACTAAAAGAGAAGGTTCAAGGTCCTTCACATATGGCTGTAGGCAGAATCCCTACTCATTTGGGCATCCTCAAGGTAAATTAAGCTTTTGATAAAACTAAAGCTTGGACTATGTAGCAGATAAACAGCTGACTTGTTGTTTCTTCTTTCAACTTTTCACTTGCTCATATCCTCCATGAGTACTCCCCCATTGACCTTTTCGTTCTGATTGAGAAGTCTTTGGTCTGATTCTTCCCTTCACATAGGAATTTCTGAAGGTCCACATATAAATGAGATAAGTGAAGACCCTGAGCAACAGTACATTTTTTGTGATGTTCCTCATGCCTTGATTGTTAGTGCAATGAATGAAAAAAAATCGCTCTCTCTTGAATTTAGGAAGTATTTGGCAAAACTGATTTTGAAAGCACAACAGTTACATTGATGAGCTTAGTTTACAGGTTGTGAAATCAAGGAGTGCAGCTACTGTGTTTCAATACCTGTGGACTTGTAAAATGCTTTTCACACCTTGTATCTCTGTATAAAAGATAACAAAATGATAATTAAAATTCCTCATGTTTTCCAGACTGAGGTGCAATCTCTTTCCTGACATTCTTCTCTATGGACAGCATAAACTGGAAAGACCTGTTAGATTTCT